CTTGCTCATGTAATTGTAACCCCTATGTATGGTATTTTCACAATTAAAAAATGATAATAATGGGACTTGCAGAATCATGAGTTGATCAAGCAAAAAGCTTTTAATATCTGAGTCATATAATTAAGTTGATTTATATTTAACCAACATATTCTATTTATTTGGTGATATTCAGTAACATTCCTATTTGAAGATCCATATCACTTTTAAACCTAGCTTTGTGACTCATTCTTCATTTCCTAGCTACTACTCCTTCTTGAGTCATTCTGCATGGGATTTGACTCTGTAATTCTCTCCTAACTATAGAAATGGCATGCTGCTGGTAGATGTTTTGTCTTTGTCTTTCACATTTGGCAATAAGTGATAAATTTACTTTTGCAGTAACATTATAAATTCTGGTTCTGGGAGTCACTGGAAGCTGAAGTAATCCAAGATCCCAATTGGACAAGGTCTCTGGTATGACATCTTCTGTCAAGTCCTCCAAACTCAGATTCCTGCTTCAGTTCAGAGAATTTGCTATGCTGCTCCCCAGAGAAGCTTTGAAATAGGACAGCTGGACCAAGTCCTACAGAGATGTTTTTGTTAAGCACTGTATCACTGTCGGAGGAGTAGATCTACTTTGCAAGCAGTAATAAATCCCATTATCCTCAGCCTCCACATTGCCGATTTGCAGTGTGAAATCTATGCCTGACCCACTGCCACTGAATCTGTCTGGGACCACAGATCCTCGGTTGGTAGCCAAATAGGTCAATTGCTGTGGAGAATGTCCAGGCTTCTGAAGGAACCAATACAGAAGACTATTTCCTTTGCTATTTATGAGGCTCTGACTTGACCTGCAGGAGAGGGAGACCTTCTCTCCCAGGGTGACAGCCAGGGAGAGTGGAGTCTGAGTCATTATAATATCACCATTGGACCCTGAAATTAAAATAAATGAAAAGTACAAGGTTATATGTGGTATATATTTTTTCTTGTGGTTATATATTAATTCTCAATCCTTTTCATGGTTTTCCTTCTATCCTAAAACCATTCAATATTTCAAAACATATACAAATACTAAAATAATAAATGAGGTTCTAGATCTCATGTATACTACCCACTACACAGATGTCATAGTTGTCACCAAAGCTCAGGACCAAGTTCCATCTAGAATGTTCATCACTCTCATATAATTAACTTCACCTGCACCATTCTAGAGGCCAAGTTCTGTGCATCTAACCCATGAACAGAATACAAACAAGAAGCAGTGGCCCTGAGGGCTCACCCTCAACCCCCTATTCCATCCTCATCTCCCTCTACCCTTACCAGTCATCCAGCGCATTAGGGGACCCAGAACACAAGAACAGAGCCTCATTTTAGCTGGGAATCCAGGAGATTTGATCAGTGAAGTCATTGTCAAGATGAGTCTTTATGTCAAACTAGGGCTGGGCAGTCCTCCTTGGGGAGCACTGTGCAAATCAGCGGGTGGGTGCAGCAGTGTGAGAAGAACAAAGCACAGGGCAAGGGCATCTCTCTGGTGAAGAAAGTGACTTAAATTTCTTCTGTGTTTCGAGAAAAGACCCATAACTACCAGGCTGGCTCCAGCAGTGTGTAGAAGGACCCCTCTCCCCTGATGCCTGGGTCTGCAGGGAAGATGTGGTGTACTTGACCCTGTCAACTTAAAACACTTGAAAGGCCCAATTCATTTGAAATGTGTGTCCAGGAGTGTCTTGGTGAAAAGTCAATTTGATTTGACCTCTTCTGGTTATTCTAGAGAAAGATACTGTACACAGACTTCATTTGCCATTGTTTCTCAAGGCTTCTATCAAAACCACTGTGATTTGAACTATGTAAGGAAATCAAATACCTACTTCAGTTAATCTGATATCACTGAAACAAAGTTAACTTTTGATGAGCAAGTTATCAACCACTGTTAGAGATGCTCTTCATAAGCCAGACACTGGTGGCTCATGTCTGTAATCCTAGCTACTCTGGAGGCTGAGTTGTCAGGACATGGCTGAAAGCCAGTCCAGGCTGAAAGTTCCCCTTGTGACTCTTATCCCCAATTACTCATTCAGAAATTGGAAGTGGTGTTGTGGCTGAAAGTGGTAGAGTCTAAGCCTTGGGCAAAAGAGCTCAGGATCAGTGCCCAGGTCCTGAGTTCAATCCCTACAAGTGATAAAAAAAAATAAGATTCTTCATAAGGGCCTAATAAAGTAAGTTCCTTATGATCACTTGTGTCAAAACAAAATAACCCAGAGGAGAAAATTCTCCTTAATTAATAACATTTCTAAATGAAAAGAAAAATGGCAGAGAAAACTAAATTTTACAGTCATTTTCACAATCAATAAATATGGGATTAGAATCCTTCAGCATAACTCTTTACCAGACTAACAACAGCATTCTTAATATTTCTCTCTCTCTTCTTTGAGACAGTATGAACAAGAATGCCAGTTACATTCAGTTAGGTAGTCATACTATTGCAACATCAATTTTTTTAATCTTTCTATAGAGTCTGCTCCTGGAAAAGTCATTAACTCTGTATTAGAACCTCCTTGTCCTGCCTGCATTCCATGTGGGCAGCCACAGCCAGAACTCCAAACCTCATAGCAGGACCCAGCAAGAGCTATTTTCATGTTTCGATATAAGAAACACTCAAGAGTATGTCTTCTCTTAAGCTTCATCAGGATCTAGTAAGTAACTGAAAGCTGGTTCAGAGTTGTACAGAGGGAGTCATATTCCATTTACACCATCCAGAGCCTGAAAAACATACATTTCTGTTGCTATTGCCCACTGTTTGTGACATTTTCTTATGGGTTACACAAAAAGTTTCTTCTATTAAAATTTATTATAGGAATTTTTATTGTGATTAAGTGATTACAAAAATTTCACAAATTTCACAGGATTGTGATACTTATAGTCACAAAGTAAGTGATACTTATAGTCACAAACACATTCTAACCTTGGGGGGAAATTATCTTTATCATGAGTTATGAAGTCTGTGAATTCTATGAGCTTTTACAATACAGTTATTTCTTCCACATGAGGTGATATATACATTTCTTTCCCTTTGCTTAGTGTCAGCTTTTCCCCTTTCGCTGCTCATTCCCTCCCTCCCATTGCTTCCACTGAGTTGCGTAGTTTGATATGATCAATGTCCAGTGCAGCTGATAGGTCCCACTGTTGTATGTTTTCCCCTATTTCCCTCTGTCTCTCTGTCGTCCTACTAGTTTCCCTCTGATGTGCACATATATAACAAATATGTGGTTTATATTATTTTTAATAACTTTATTATTGGGAAAATAACATACATTTCTTATCAAGCATTGTTGCCTCCTTTGTTTTCCCTTCCCATTCCTTCCCATCTTCCCCCCCCCTTTTCCACGTCCTCCCTTACCCCCCATACCCGCAGCACCAAAGTTGTAAACTTCATTTTTTGAAATAATGTTTTGTACATCTCATTATTGCCATGGGTCCACCTATATCCCTATTTAAACAATTCCTTTTTTCCTCTCTTTTTTATTGTGAAAATACTGTAAAGAGGGATTACAATTACATGGGCAAGATATTGAGTACATTTCTTATCAAGCATTGTAGCCTCCTCGTTTGTTTCCCCTTCCCATCCCTTCCCATCCCCCCCCCCCGTCCCACCACCCCAACCTCCTCCCTCTGCCTCCCTAAAGTTGTAAAGTTTGTTTTCTACATAACAACTTATACTTCTAATTGTTGAAATGGGTCCACATGTATCCCTATTTAAATAATTTGTTTTTTCCCTTCCCCCCCCAAATTATACCAACATCAAATACAGTGAAACCAGGGGTTATACTGTGGGGGAGAGACATATAAAGCAACAAAGAAATCATCTTATAAATATGTTATTTATAAATTATTTCTTTTATTCTTTTGTTGCTTGCTTATGCAAAGAGAATGAGCAAAATCTTTGAGATACCATTACTGGAAGAAAGTTCCACACTTAAATTAAATGCCAGTTATAAGGAAGGGGAGATGACTAACACAGGAAAATTCCCAATAGGTTGTAAATTCAATCCTGTATATGAGTTACAAATGATACAGCTCAAAAGAAATACTGAAATCTTATGCTTATATCCCCCCCAATTAAGGATGTGCAACCATAAGAAGACTCATATATGATTACATTTTTGTGCATTGTTATACTTTGTGTGTGTGTGTGTGTGTGTGTTGTGTGTGTGTCTTTGGACTTTGACTCAGGGTCTGATCTATGGCCCTGAGCTTTAGTACTCAAGGTCAGCACTCTTCCACCTGAGCCACATCTCCATTTCTGCACTTTTGTTGGTTAACTGGAGGAAAGAGTCTCTTGCACTTTCCTTTCCTCGGCTGCCTTTGAACTGGGATCAGCAGATCTCAGCATTCTGTGTAGGTAGGTTTTCAGGCATGAGCCACCTGCACTGGCCTCTTGTAGATACATAAGCCTTGTAGAACACCGGGATTTGAATTAATATCTCTCAAAACAGGACAATGTATACCTTCAGGAACCATAGTTCCATGACACACAACCGGGCATGGAAGGGTTTCATTCTCAGGATTGGAACATTGTGAAGTTGCTGATCAGTCTTGCTGGCCATTTGCCCTCAACTGCATACCAGGTGATGGTCTGCTCTTCTCAGGTGTGTACAGTTGTAGAGGCTCAGTAGTGGTCATTGTTCTTAGCTAGTTGGATGCAGAGAAGCACCAGAAAATACAAAGACATAATAAGTTTAAAGTTTAAAGTTTAAAACTTTATCTATTATGTCTCTCAGATTTATAATGACACTTCCTTGGAACTCTGACTAACCTTCCTTCTCTAATGTTTTACTCTCAACTTTGTTCACAGATCCATGTTGCCATGGATTGGAGAAAAGCGATTGATAAAAATCTCTCATGTGAATACCTCAACCCAATAAAAGATATAGGTGGCAAGAATATTGTCCACATCACACTAAATGAGGAAAACTGCAATTATGAAATTATTCCCTCAAAAACAAGAATATATAAGCATAACCAAGGAGATGGAGTATCTCTACAATGAAAACTATTATAATAAAAATAAATAAATGAAATGCACAAGTATATACATACATATATACTTCTTTTTTTATTTTACCTAGATAGACTTCTCTATGCTATATGAATCCAAAGTAATGGCACAACCCTGACTCCCTAGAGTATGTAGATGCATCATTTAACAGTCAGGAGAGACATTAAAAGTCTGTGCTGTGTGCCATGTAGAGAAAATAATGTTAGGATAAAAAGGAACTTCTCAGCCCTATACAGAAGAAAAAAATACCTGTACATCTACAAACAATACCAGTAATGCATCCAATTTAGTTGAGGTTTTTCTGATTCAGATCCAAAAACTAAGCAGGATTATATCTTCAATTGCTAGGAAACATTCTTGAATTCAAGCTCACTGAGAATGGAACCTGAGTCCTGCTTCCTCACCATGGTTGCAGCAGCAGGAAGAAGAGAAGCAAGTCTGAAACTAAATGTCCAAAGTACTTGTCAATTCCTAAGGCTGATCTTGCTCAGGGAGAGCTGGTTTGGTGACTTAGTTTCCTTGCACTGCCATGGAAAACACAGATACCTTGCGCTGGTAGATAAATTTATGGAATAGTTTTAAAGTCAGGAAGTCTAGAGTGTATTCTCTTTTAGACTCTCTTCCTGACTGTTCACTTTCCTGTAATGTCCTCACAAGGACTTTGATGCCTGTGACAGAGACAGAGACAGAGCCATCCAGGGCCACATCTCCTCAAGACACTAGCACTACAGGACTTGCTACAGTCTCAGGGACCTCACATCACCTCACTCACTTGTCACAGACTTCTCCAAGGACAATAGCTCAGGGGACATGAATCAATCCTTGAAAGATGGTCTTTGCTGATAAATGAGGCAGGAAATAGAGGCAAAGCCAAGCTTCCAGTCTCTAAATTCCAAAAACAGAAGACTTTCCCCCACAATTCAGCCTGCTTACAGCTCCTTCTGAGTGTCCCTATTCCTAGTCAAATACCCAAGCCTGGAGACTGTTGATGATTGAAACATTAACTCTGTGGTTTCCCTAGATTACTAAACTAGATAGCTCTTAACATATTTTGTGGGGTTTCGCTACCATCTAGTGGTATTATTCTAACATTACATGCTTTAGAACCAGGATTCTATTTCTTTATTTTTAGTAATTTTTAATTTTACTTTCTTATAAAGATGCTGTCCAAAGGGGTTACATTTACATGAGTAAGGTAATGAGTACATTTCTTGTCAAGCGTTGTTACTCCCTCCTTTGTTGTTCTCCCACAATCCCTTCCCTCCCCTACCTCCTTCACACTTTCCCCCCAAAGTTGTAAAGTTCATTACCAATATAGAGTCTTGTGGTTATCATCGTTGCAAAGGGTCATTCTGTGTCCTTGTTTCAGCATTTTGTTATTCCCTTTCCCCTCCCCAAATTAGACAAATGTATATACAAGATTCATGGTAATAAAATCAGTACAGTGAAAGCAGGGGATATACCATGGGGGAAGAACGTACAAAAGAAACAAAAAAATCAAACATTACATTAAAAACAACAACAAAGAAAGTTCTCTGTATCCATATCTTAGGATTCAGGTTTCCCTCATTTGCAATAATTAGTATATATCTAGGACAATTTTATCTAAAAAGCAGAGAAGCTCAAAAACTATGTACATATGACCATCTAAGATGATGCTAAGCTAAATGAACTCCAGGATTCTTTTTTCAGGTAGAGTTATAAACTCTTAACATTTCTAAGGATTAAATTCAGATAAGATGGTAGATTTGTGTGTGTGTGTGTGTGTGTGTGTGTGTGTGTGTGTGTGTGTGTGTGTGTGTGTGTCAGTGGTTTGCCAGTGATAACTTGAAGAATAAGAGCTAGTAAGTCTATCTTCACAGGTGAAGATAGAGAAACAAGAGGCAAAAGCTGCACAGAGATCCCCAAATCTCTCCATAACAAACCCTGGTATTTTACTACATATAAATCACTGACTGCATGTGGAGGGCTGAGTGGTGAAGAAAAATTTATCACTATTTGTTGCATGATATGCCACAGGTGTGGAGAACCAGTGGCTCACCTTGTGCTTATGTGAATTGAGTACTGATGGCTTGCAAGGTAGCTAATGTTGGCTTTGTGGACTCTGGCGGGAAAGTATTATAATTAAAAGAAAAAGGAGCCTGATGCTCTCCCTGTGGATTTGTCACTGTTCTTAGTTACAGTTGTCAAGTGTGCTCAGCACAAGATGATTTATCTTAGGATATGGATTTGTTCACAAACTATTGAGAAGTTTTGAGGCAGAAGTTCTGGAAACCTTTCCAAGAGTGGAGTTGAAGATGGAGCCAGTAGGATGAACCCTGGCTAATGGGATTCTCTATTCAGTGATCTCTTGCAGAGAAGAGCTATCCCTTTCTTCCTGCTCTGAGACTATAGCACCCAGGAGAATCCTCCTCTTGGCCTGCTGCTCTCTTGTGCTGTTTACATCCACATCTCACACTACTGATGATAAATCCAGTCTGTGAGTTCATGGACTGGTTCATGTTTAGTGACTTTGTTTCACTAATACATATATTCCCACATTTAAACTCTGACTTTAAAAAAATCTACCTCAGCATATTATTCCCACTACAAATAATAGCCATTTCTCTCAATTTAGTGCTGGGGACTCCAAATGCTTCTGGTGCCTAATTCATCTTCCATCATTGGTTAGAAAGTAAGCTAGGACCTAAGTTATGAAGATGTGTTACTTAGCTTTCCGTTGTTGTGGCTAAGACCTCAGTAAAAGCAATATAAAAGACAGAGTACTTGATTGCAACTCTTAGATCATAAAGTCTATTCTACCATGTGGGCAGAGTTTGGTGAAGCTCACAACATGGCACCCAAGAAACAGAGGATATGTTCTACTTGGTGGCTACATCTTCCTTTCCCTTTCATTTGATGAGAATTCAGTCCTTTGGAAGGGGCTGTGTGTAATAGGGTGGGTCTTCTCTCTTAGTCAATTCTCTCTCGAGAAGGTCTCACAGCCAGGTGCAGAAGTATATTTGTTCATCTCCAAGCAATCCAACCAAGAGAACCATCATAAAAGATCATCAGATTTTTTTCTGTTTCCTTAAAATTTCAAAGAAAATAATGAGTATAGAAAGAAGAGTATTGAGCCATATATACATGGTTTCCTCAAAGTCTACATGCTGTGTGTTCTTATATGTCTTTCTTTTTTCATTGTAAAAATATTGTACAGAGAGGTTACATTTATATGAGCAAGATAATGAGTACATTTCTTATCAAGCATTGTAGCCTCCTCGTTTGTTTCCCCTTCCCATCCCTTTTCATCCTCCCCCCCTCCCCCCTCCGCCAAATCCTCCCTCCCTTCCCCCGCACCAAAGTTGTAAAGTTCGTTTTGGGCATATCCACTTGTACATCTCATTGTTGCAATAGGTCCACCTGAATCCCTATTTAAACGATTTATTTTTCCCCTTCCCCTCCACAAATTATATCGATATCAAATACAGTGAAAACAGGGCTTATACTGTGGGGGAGGGACATACAAAGCAACAAAGAAATAATCTTATAAATGTGTTAGAAGAAATTGCATGGAAAAAAATACATTTAAATACATATCTTAGGTTTCATTTCCCTAACTTACATGTCTTTCTTTAAGATAGTCTCTGCAAAGGATAAACTATGTTTCATTGGATCCCTGATAATTTCTCTGTCTATGTATTGTAGCTGCATGTAGCTGTTTATGCAGCCACATTTGGACATTGATATGTTTATATGTACAAGTCTATATGTACATATAGATGTATATATGCACACAATAAATATAGAAATCTAGGCACATGTTTTATAGATGACACACATAAACACATACCAATAAATGTATATGTATGCCTATTTGTTAACTGCGAATTACTCATATTTGATAAATCTGTACTACCTATTAAAATATCCATTAGAGGAGGACCAGAGGAAACAGACATGGAATAAAGCATTATACAGCATCAAACTTCAATTTGTAGCTTTGTTTAAAAAAAAATGGGCCTGTGCCAAGGAGAACCCTGTTTTCATTGTCTTTGATGTTGGTATAATTTGGGGAGGGGAAGGGAAAAATAATGGTTTAAATAGGGATACAGGTGGACCCATTGCAACAATGAGATATACAAGACATTATGTCAAAAAATGAACTCTACAATTCTGGGGGGGGGCCTGAGGGGTAGAAGGGAGGGTAGGGATGAGAAGGGGAAACAAGGGATGAGGCAACAATGCTTGATAACAAATGTTCTCATTACCTTGCTAATGTAATTGTTAACTCCTCTGTATGGTATTTTCACAATCAAAAAGTCACACTAATGGGAATTTCGAAATCATGGGTTGATGAAGCAACAAGGTTTTAACATCTGAATCATATAATTAATTTTCTTTATATTTAACAAACATATTCTATTTATTTGGTGATATTCAGTAACATTCCTATTAAATAAAATCTTTCTCAATTTTAAGCCTAGCTTTGTGATTCATTCTTCAATTGCTAGCTACCAATGTTTCTTGAGTTATTCTGCAAGAGATTTGACTTTAATTCTCTCCAAACTATAGAAATGGCATGATGCTGGGAGATGATTTTGTCTTTTTCTTTCACATTTGGTTATAAGTGAAAATTGACTTCTGCAGCAACATTATAAATCCTGTTCTGGGAGTCCCTGGAAGCTGAAGTAATCCAAGATCCCACATGGACAAGGTCTCTAGTATGACATCTTCTGTCAAGTCCTCCAAACTCAGACTACTGCTTCAGTTCAGAGAATGTGCTATGCTGCTCCCCAGACAAGCTTTGAAATAGGACAGCTGGGCCAAATCCTACAGAGCTGTTTATGTTAAGGACTGTATCACTGTGGGAGGAGTATAACCTTGCATGCAGTAATAAACGCCAATATCCTCAGCCTCCACCCTGCTGATTTGCAGTGTGAAATCTGTGCCTGACCCACTGCCACTGAATCTGTCTGGGACCCCAGAAGGTCGTTTGGAAGCCCAATAGATCCATCTCTGTGGTGACTGGCCAGGCTTCTGAAGGAGCCAATACAGAAGACTATCTCCATCGCTATTTATGAGGCTCTGACTTGACCTGCAGGAGAGGGAGACCGTCTCTCCCAGGGTGACAGCCAGGGCGAGTGGAGTCTGAGTCATTATAATATCGCCATTGGACCCTGAAATTAATATAAATGAAAAGTACAAGGTTATATGTGGTATATAATTTTTTCTGTGGTTATATATTAATTCCCAATCCTTTTCATGGTTTCTCTTCTATCCTAAAACCATTCAATATTTCAAAACATATACAAATATTAAAAAGCATAAATGAGGTTCTAGTTCTCAGGTATACTACCCACTGGACAGTTGTCATAGTTGTCACCAAAGCTCAGGACCTGGTTCCATCTAGAATGTCCATCACTCTCATATAATTAACTTCACCTTCTTCATTCATTCTAGAGGACAAATTCTGTGCATCTAACTCAAGAACAGAATACAAACAAGAAGTAGTGACCCTGAGGGCTCACCCTCAACCCCCTTTTCCATCCTCATCTCCCTCTGCTCTTAGGAGCATTAGGAGCATTAGGAGACCCAGAACACAAGAACAGAGCCTCATTTTAGCTGGGAATCAAGGAGATTTGATCAGTGAAGCCAAGGTCAAGATGAGCCTTTATGTCAAACTAGGGCTGGACAGTCCTCCTTGGGGAGCACTATGCAAATCAGCAGGTGGGTGCAGCAGTATGAGAAGAAAAAAGCAGAGGGCAAGGGCATCTCTCTGGTGAAGAAAGTGACTTAAATTTCTTGTGTGTTTGGAGAAAAGACCCACAAATACCAGGCTGGCTCCAGCAGTGGGTAGAAGGTCTCCTCTCCCCTGATGCCTGGATCTGCGGGGAGGATGTGGTGTACTTGACCCTGCAACTTGAAACACTAGAGGCCCAATTCAATTGAAATGTGTGTCCAGGGGAGTCTTGGTGAAGGGTTAGTTTGATTGGCCCTCTTCTAGTTATTCTAGAGAAAGATACTGTGCACAGACTTCATTTGCCATTGTTTCTCATGACTTCTATCCAATACTACAGTGGTCTGATCTAGGTAAGGAAATCAAATACATACTCGAGTTAATCTGACATCACTGAAACAAAGTTAACTTTTGATTAGAAAGTTATCAACAACTGTTAGAGATGGTCTTCATAAGACAGACTCTGGTGGCTTATGTCTGTAATCCTAGCTACTCTTCAGGCTGAGTTCTGAGGACATGGTTCAAAGCCAGTCCAGGCTAAAATTTCCCCTTGTGACTCTTATCTCCAATTAATCATTCATAAATTGGAAGTGGTGCTGTAGCTGAAAGTGGTAGAGTGTTTTCCTTGGGCAAAAGGGCTCAGGATCAGCGCCCAGGTCCTGAGTTCAATCCCTACAAGTGATAAAAAAAAATAATAAGGTTCTTCATAGGGGGCCTAACAAATTAAATTCCTTATGATCACTTATATCAAAACAAAATAACCCAGAGGAAAAAATTCTCCTTAAGTAATAACATTTCTTAATGAAAGAGAAAAATGTCAGAGAAAACTAAATTTTACACAGTCATTTTCACAATCAATAAATATGGGATGACACTCCTTCAGCATAACTCTTCAGACTAATAGCAGCATTCTTTTTTTTTTTTTTTTAATTTTATTTTATTTTACTTGAGAACATAATGTACAGAGGGGTTACAATTACATGGGCAGGATAATGCATACATTTCTTACCAAGCATTGCAGCCTCCTCCTTTGTTTACCCTTCACCTCCCTTCCCAGCCTCCCCCCTCCCTCCCACCCAATCATACCCCCCCCACCGACATTGTAAAGCTGGTTTTGACATGACATTTTGTACTTCTCATTGTTGCAACAGGTCCACCTGAATCCTTAAACGACTTGTTTGTCCCCATCTCCTCCACATGTTATACTGACATCAAATATAGTGAAAGCGGGGGTTACACTGTGGGGGAGGGACATACAAAGCAACAAAGAAATAATCTTATAAATGCGTTAGAAACACATGCATAAAAGAAACAAAAACATTAAAATACATATTTGAGGTTTCGTTTTCCTAACATCACATTCTCTGACTTTTTCCGCTTGACTCATACCTATACTAGATATTGCAAATAAGGGAAACCATGGGACCTGTGTTTCTTTGGGCCTGGCTTACTTCACTTAATATAATTTTTTCCAAGCCTTTCCATTTCCTAACAAATGGGGAAATGTCATTCTTTCTGATGGAGGCATAGAGTTCCATTGTGTATATATACCACATCTTCTTGATCCATTCATCCACTGAGGGGCATCTGGGTTGGTTCCATGTCTTAGCTATGGTAAATAATGCTGCAATAAACATAGTTGTGCTGGTAGCTTTAGTGTGGCCTTGCTTGTGATCATTTGGGTAAATGCCCAAAAGTGGGATTGCTGGGTCATTGGGGAGCTCTATGTGGAGTCTTTTGAGGAACCTCCATACTGCTTTCCAAAGTGGTTGAACAAGTTTACATTCCCACCAACAATGAGGTAAGGTTCCTTTCTGTCCACATCCCCTCCAGCATCTGTTGTTGTTAGAGTTCTTGACTTTTGCTGTTCTAACTGGAGTGAGGTGATATCTCAATGTTGTTTTGATTTGCATTTCTTTTATGGCTAGGGATGTTGAACATTTCTTCATGTGTCTATTGGCCATCCTTCTTTCTTCTTCAGAGAAGCTTCTCTTTAAGTCTTTTGCCCACTTACTTATTGGGCAGTTGTTTCTTTGAGGATTTGTTGTTGGGGGGTTTAATTTTTTGAGTTCCAAGTATATTTTAGATATGAGACCCTTGTCCGTTGTATGGCTAGTAAAGATCTTCTCCCAGTCCGTGGGCTTTCTATTGATCTTGCTAGCTATGTCATTTGCCCTGCAGAAGCTCTGCAAACTTATACAATCCCATTTGTCCAGCCTTTCTTTGATTTGTTGTGTTTCCGGGTCTCTATTCAGAAAATTTCGGCCTGTGCCAAGGAGGCCCAGGGTTTCTCCTATTCCATCCTGTAATGTTTTCAGAGTGTCTGCTTTGAGTTCAAGGTCTTTGATCCATTTGGAGTTGATTCTGGTGCAGGGTGATATATAAGGATCTAGCTTTAGTTTTCTACATGTAGTTAACCAGTTTTGCCAGCACCATTTACTGAAGAGGCTGTCTGTCTTCCATTCTATTGTTTTAGCTCCCTTATCGAAGATTAGATGGCTATAGGTCTGTAGGTTCATTTCTGGGTTTTCAATTCTATTCCATTGGTCCTGAGGTCTGTTCTTATGCCAATACCAAGCTGTTTTGATTACTATGGCTTTATAGTAGAGTTTGAAATTTGGTATTGATATTCCTCCAGCCGTGTTCTTTCCGTTGAGGAGCGTTTTTGCTATTCGGGGTCTTTTATTGTTCCATATGAATTTTTGGATTGCCTCTTCTATTTCCTTGAAGAATGAGGGTGGAATTTTGATAGGTATTGCATTGAATTTGTAGATAGCCTTGGGAAGTATTGCCATTTTCACGATGTTAATCTTTCCAATCCAGGAGCATGGGAGGTTTTGCCATTTTTTAAGTTCTGTGTTGATTTCCTTTTTCAAGATTTTAAAGTTTTCATCATAGAGGTCCTTCAATTCTTTAGTTAAGTTAATTCCTAGGTATTTTATTTTTTGTGGGGCTATTACAAATGGAGTTGCTTTCCTAACTTCAGCCACACTTTTCTCATTGTTGGCATACAGAAAAGCCATTGATTTTTGGGGGTTAATTTTATAACCTGCTACTTTGCCAAAGTTTTGAATCAGCTTGAGTAATTTGGGAGTGGAGTCTATGGGATTCTTTAAATACAAGATCATGTCATCTGCAAAGAGGGAGAGTTTTATTTCTTCTTTCCCTATTTGGATCCCCTTTATGTCAATAGCAGCATTCTTTATATTTCTCTCTCCTATAAGACAGTAGGAACAAGAACACCAGTTACATTCAGTTAGGTAGTAAGACCATTGCAACATCTATTTTTAATTTTTCTACAGAATCTGCTCCTGGAAAAGTTATTAACTCTGTATTAGACCCTCCTTGTCCTGCCTGCATTCCATGTGGGCAGCCGCAGCCAGGATTCTACAACTCATAGCAGGACCCAGCAAGAGCTGTGTTCATGTCTCAGTATAACAAACACTCAAGATTAAGTCTTCCCTTAAGGTTCATCAGAATCTACTTAGTAACTGAATGCTGGTTCAGAGTTGTACAGAGGAATTCATACTCCACTTACCCCATCGAGAGCCTGAAGAACATACATATCTGTTGCAATTGGCCACTGATTGTGACATTTTCTTATGGGTTACACAAAAAGTTTCGTCTATTAAGATTATTATAGGAATTTTTATTGCGATTAAGTGATTACATAAATTTCACAAATTTCACAGGATTGTTATAGTCACAAAGTAAGTGATACTTATAGTCACAAACCCATTCTAACCTTCATGGGGCAAATTATCTTTATTGTGGCTTATAAAGTTTGTTAATTCTATGGGCTTTGACAATACAGTTATTTCTTCCACATGGGGTGATATATACATTTCTTTCCTTTTGCTTAGTGTCAGCTGTTCCCTCTTTCCTGCTCATTCCCTCCATTGCTGCCATTGAGTTGCTTAGTTTGTTATGATCAATGTCCAGTGCAGCTGATAGGTCCCACTGTTGTATGTTGTCCCCTGTTTGCCTCTGTCCCTCTGTCCTCCTCCTGGTTTCCCGCTGATGTGCACATATACACCATATATGTGGTATACATTATTTTTTAAATAAGTTTATTGGGAAAATACCATACATTTCTTATCAAGCATTATTGCCTCCTCCTTTGTTTTCCCTTCCCATTCCTTCCCATCTTCCCCCCACGTTTTCCCATCCTCCCTACCCCCAAAATCCCCAGCACCAATGTTGTAAACTTCATTTTTCGACATAATGTTTTGTACATCTCATTATTGCAATGTGTCCACCTATATCCCTATTTAAACAATTCCTTTTTTTCCTCTCTTTTTTTATTGTGAAAATACTGTACAGAGGGATTACAATTACATGGGCAAGATAATGAGTACATTTCTTATCAAGCATTGTAGCCTCCTCCTTCATTTCCCCTTCCCATCCCTTCCCATCCTCCCCCCATCCCACCACC